TTGTTGTAGAGCACAATATCGGGCAGCCAGATGTGCTCCGAGGGGACGTAGAGCATCTCCACGCCTCCGTAGTCATCGGGATTCCAACGCAGCTTGTAGTCGTGCCAGTTCTGCGGGCGAGAGAAGTCGGAGGTTGAAGAAAGGAGGAATGGCGAAAAAAGGTGAATAAAATAATGTGAAAATGAAATAGGGAGCGACGAAGGCTAGTTGGAGGAGGAATAGTAAAAAGGTAAATAAATAATGTGGAAATGAAATAGGGATCGACGAAGGAGGAATAGTAAAAAATAGTAAAAAATTGAAATAGGGATCGACGGAGGTTAGTTGGAGGAGGAATAGCAAAAAAAAAAAGGAGGTTGACGGAAGGAGGTATAGTAAAAAAGGAAATAAATAATGTGATAATAAAATAAGGATCGATGAAGGTTAGCTGAAGGAGGAATAGCAATAAAAAATATAAATAATGTGATAATAAAATAAGGATCGATTCGATGGATGTTAGTTAAAGATGAGGATAATGGAGGAAGAGAGAAATGGGGAAAGATTAAAAAGGAGGAGGTTATTTGAAGGGTGACGAAGTAGCCAAAGAGCCAAAGAACGAAGGATTGTCGAAAGAATGAATGAGAAAGGAAGGACGTTATTGAAAAGGGAGGAAAGGGAAGGAAAGAAAGAGGGGACAACTGAAAAGAGAAGACCAGGGAAAAGGAGAAGAGAGAAAGAGGCTGGATATTTGAAATAAGAGGAATGATTGAAGAACAATAAAGAAAGAGAGATGGACATTTGAAGAAAGAGGAATGATTGAAGAACAATAAAGAAAGAGGAATGATTGAAGAACAATAAAGAAATAGGAATAATTGAATAATTGAAGAACAATAAAGAAAGAGAGACGGACATTTGAAGAAAGAGGAATAATTGAAGAAGAATAAAGAAAAAAGGAGATGGACATTTGAAGAAAGAGGGATGAGCGAAGAACGCGAAGGAGGGAGGGAAAATTTTCAAGCGAGAGAAAGAATGAGTGTGCAGAGAGGAGAATAACAATGAGGGAAATAGAAAAAGACGAAAAAACATAAACAAAACACACAAAAAAATGAAAGGAGAAGAAATTGATAAGGGAGGAGATATCTGTAGCGATAAAAGAGTAAAGAATAATATCAAACATAGAGAGAAAGAAATAAGGAAGCAATAGTTATCTAAAAAGAAAGATAAGAGAGTGAACTGAATGAAAAATAAAGAAATAGGAGAGAGAGGTATCCGGAGAAAGAAAATTTGAAAGATAAGGAAATGAAGTAAAAGGAGAGAAAGAAAATACGAGGAGTTATTCGAGATGAGAAATCCCCTCCTCCCTTTTCTGATCAGCTGAGCGGAGGAGAAAGACAGAAGTAAAGGAGTTGTTTGAAGTAAGAAAAGAGAGCAAGGAGAACGGGAGACAGTTAGTTGAAGGGAGAAAGGGAAAGGGAGACGTTGATTGATGGCCAGAAGTAGGGTGAGGGAAAGAGCCTGGGAAGTTAAAGTGTTTCTTGCCCCTGCTCTTACTGGGATGGAGATGTCACACGTAATTTTGAAGGGGCTGAGGGAGCTCGCGTCCGGCTGTCTGTGTCCTTTTTTTGAGCGTGTGTGTTGTGTGTATGTGTGTGCTTGTTTGTAGGTAGTTATGTGAGTGTGTGTGTGCCTCTGTGTATGTGTGTGTGGATGTGTGTGTACCTCTGTGTATGTGGATGTGTGTGTACCTCTGTGTGAGTTTGTGTTTCGCGTGCACCTGTGTGTGTGTGTGTTTGTGTGTGGGTGTGTGGGTGTGGGGTGTGTGTGTGTGTGTGTGTGTGTGTGCCTGTGTATGTGTTTGTCTTTCCTGGCACAAAATTAAATTCATAACAAATTTATCACGTCAACATAAGCTGCTTTAAAGCCGTTGCAGAGCATCAGTGCAGTGATGAAGCACTTATTAAGTTAACATTGAAATATCATTTGGTCTTAATTGGAAAAATTCGATATTAATAACCCGATAAATATAGATGAGATTGCGGCATTGCACGTAGAGAAAAGATGAACGTACATGTACACACACGTACAAGTTTCTGAACAATGAAAACTTTAAAAATGGCTTCTAATTACCATATCTTTATTTCAGTAACATTTACAAATGAGAGAAAGAACGAAATAGATTCACTGAAATTATTTGGCGACCATTAGTTACTGGCAAAAGATTCAGTGTCACAGGGCAAGGAATGTGTCCAGTACTGTTGCCAGCTCGTCAGTCCAGTAAAATCTTTTTGTTTTGTAGAAAAGGTATGAATGAGAATGAATATCTTCACAGTACAAGAGATATATCAAACCAATTTCTCATAAATCTTCGCCAGAAATACAGTTATTTCGTACAAAGATATATTCGAAACCGGTTAAATATATCTCTTGTATTGTGAAGATAATCATTCTCATTCATACTCTTTCTACATTTGTCAACAAGAATACGGTTCAAATCTTTGTTTTAGTTGTCTTTAATATAACTTTTGTTTTCGAAATATGAACGATACAGAAGGTACACATAGACTGACCTCTTTAAATATCCATCGATAGATCATTTCTCCTGGTTTTATTCTATCAATAACTGGTTACAGAAGAATCGAAACCCACAATTGCCGTCCAAATAGGATTCATAAAGGAAAGGGAGTTGAATGCTAACTATATCAGTTTCTGATAGTATGCAGATGTCGATTTTTTTCTTTGAATATGTACGAGAGGATTTGCACTCATGTCAGCGAGGAATCATTTCAACTTTAGAGTATTTTAAGCACGAGTGTATGGCACGCCTAGGTCGTTCCACTTTCCTCCTCTCTATCTGTCTGCTTGTTTATTTATCTTTATCTCTCTCTTCTACTACTACTTATGCATTTATTCTTTCTCTTCCTCCGCCTCCTTGCCTCTTGGTTTTCGTCTTTTTACTCCTTCTCCACTTCCGACTCTTCAAAACCACCACCACCTCCTCCTTCTCTTCCCCCTCCTCCATCTCTCCTCTACTATCCTCCTCCTCCTCTTCCTCCTCCTCCTCCTCTTCCCGCCCCCTCCTCCTCTACCACCAACACCTCCATTTTCACCTTTAACCACCTCCCCCCTCCCCTCCTCCTCCACATACATCTCCCTTCACCCTCCCTCACCCCTCACCTTCCTTCCTTCCTTCCTCCTCTCCCTCCTCTCCTCCTGCTGCTGCTGCTGCTGCTGCTGCTGCTGCTGCTGCTCCTCCCTGCTCCTGCTCCTGCTCCTCCTCCTCCTCCTCCTCTCCTTCCTCCTCCTCCTCCTCCTCCCCTCCTCCTCCTCCTCCTCCTCCTCTCCTCCTCCTCCTCCTCCTCCTCCTGTGCAACTCCCCAACAGGAGCAGCTCTCCCCGCGTCCGTGTCCCCAGCTGGCGCAGCGCACTTGTTTCTCGGTAATTACAACAGGCGATTAGCCCCCCCCCTCCCTTTTCCACTCATCCCTACCCCCGCCGAGTCCTTCCCTTCCCCTAAGCGCCGTAATTAGACGCAAGTGTCGCCCCTATAGCCGGTATGTATGAGGTGCAAAATCCTTTGGTTTGTGGTGGATGTCCATATGGGATGTGGATTTTGTTCTTTTTTTTTGTTGTTTTGCTTTTACATTTTTTATTTCAAATTTCGTTTTTTTTTTTTTCTTTTCTTTTACTGTTCATTTTCATGTCTCTGTCTGTTTGTTTTGTTTGATTATTCTGATGTTATTTTTTCTTTCTTTCTTTCTTTCTTTCTATTCATACATATTGTTTGGAGTTTATTTTGAGCTTCTCTCTCTCTCTCTCTCTCTCTCTCTCTCTCTCTCTCTCTCTCTCTCTCATCTCTCTCTCTCTCTCTTCTCTCTCTCTCTCTCTCTCTCTCGTCTCTCTCTCTCTCTCTCTCTCTCTCTCTCTCTCTCTCTCTCTCTCTCTCTCTCTCTCTCTCTCTCCCTCTCTTCTCCTCTCTCTCTCTCTCTCTCTTCTCCAACTACTACCACAACACACACACACACAACACACACAACACACACACGGCACACTTTCCTTCCTCCCCCCCCCCTCTCTCTCTTCTTCTCTCATCTCTCTCTCTCGCTATTCGTCATCTCTCTCTCTCTCCTGTCTCTCTCGTCCTCTCTCTCGTCTCTCTCATCTCTCTCTCTTCTCGGAATCTCCTCTCCGTCTCTGCCCTTTCCGTTCCTCTCATTTCTCCTCGCGTCTCTCTCGGGGTCCCTGTCGCTGTCATCTGTTCCGTCTCTCTCGATCCTCCTCTCTCTCTCTCTCTCTCTCTCATCTGCACCAAGGCGCTCTTCATTCTCTTCTCTCCTCTCTCTCTCTCTTCTCTCTTCGTCTCTCTCAATCGTCATGTCATAGTCCTTTTTCTCTCTCTCTTCTCTTCTCTCTCTCTCTCTCTCTCTCTCCTCTCTGTCATCTCTCTCTCTCTCCTCTCTCCTCATCTCCTCTCTCTCATCTCTCATCTCATCTTCTCATCGTCTCTCTCTCTCTCTCGTCTGCTCTCCCCTCTCCTCTTCTCTCTCTCTCTCCCCCTCTCTCTCATCTCTCTCTCTCTCTTCCTCGCTCCGTCTCTTCGTCTCATCTCTTCTCGTCCGTCTCTTCCTCTGCTCACTCTC